CGTCTCGCGTAACAGGCTTCGCGATATCTCACGAAACACTGTTACGCTGCGACGCGCCTGGCATACATCTACCTAGGCCTGCGGCGCTGACACCCCAGTCGGAAAGCGCAAAAAAGGTACACGAAGATACGGGCCTTCGGCCCGTCAACTTCCCGTCACTTCGACTAAGAATGCAGGGTTGTTTATTTTTACGCTTATTTTCGTCAAAAACTCCCTGTGGCGCCTGAACGGTTAGAGATAGAGGCAAACGGACGAAATTTTCGTCTGAGGACTCTATTTTGATGAGTTACCCCTTACAAAACACGAAAAAAATATTTTTAAAAAACGTCATTTTGGGGAACTGTGGTTTTCGATTTTTTTTAAATCCAATTTTTGAGCTAGAATGCTCTTCTTCAAACTCGATCTGTCTTTTTATGATACAAAACGACCCTGAAAATCCTAGGTCGCTAGCTCAATTCGTTCTCGAGTTATCGTGCGTACAGACAAACAGACACACAGACAAACAGACACGAAACTTTTTGATCATCACTGGAGTAATAGGCTTCGCTATCGCTCAGCCAATAATATCATGTCTTGTATTTTAAATGAGTTGTTCAACTTAAATTTTCTCCGTCAATGAAGCGTTCGACAGCTGAAGTTTTTACCCAAGTTAATGTTAACTTTCCCGTGATGTAACACAATTAGTCTTGTTGAAAGAAAACAATAAAGGGAGATAAACATGATTTTATTTTTGATTTAAAAAATACAACACGATTTACCAATTTCTTATGCCGCCTCTTCAGGACCTCCGCCAATGCCTTAGTAGACTGAAACAATAATAGCACAATTAGACCATAATTTTACATTCTGTAAAATCCACAATACAAACATACTTTCAAACTCACAAGTTTCGGAGGGCAATGGGGGTGGGCCATGTGCGCCTGCTGGCGGGCCCGATCCACGGTCGGGTTTGCCTCTGCGGGCTGGGCAGCGGGCTGGGCCTGAGCCGTGGGCCGGGTTTCAGGGGTGCACTTACCTTAAACCACCTCACCCAAAGATCATAGTGGGCTGGCTCCGTCTTGAACGTTGCCGCCCCGCACTTGGCAGAAGTCTTGTGCTCTTCTACGTAAATGGACAAAACAAATAATTTATTTTTTTCGGCCTCATCAATCGCCCTGCCAACA